ATCAACCGGATTCTAATTTACATTTTTTGGAAATGAAGAGACGCATGTGAAATACCAAATTAAGGATTACCCAAAGACCAAATTACCGAAATTAAACCATTTGGCCTCAGGTCATCCTGATGATAAATTAGAAGGTTACAGGATGTTTAGTATTAGACAAAAACTAGTGAAAACAAAAAAAAATATAGAATACAATACATTTATTATTCCTGATTTTATTTTGGTTACCGTCCAATTCCGAGTTGAAATTATGTTCAAATGAGAATTCTCATGAAACTGATGTTTCAAATGAGATTAATATTGATCCGTCAATTAAAACATATGATATTTTAATGACTGAGAGATTAGTTGAACCTCGTCCTTGTCCAAGAGTTATCGTAAGAGTTGACTCGAGGGATATTGACATGTTGTTCGACACAGGGGCTAGCATTTCTATAATGTCTCGAAGAAATTATTTTAAGTATTGGCCTAAAGGTAAGCTTGAGAAAGAATCTATGTGCGTCAGACAATTTGATGGGTCTGAGATAATAGTTTTGGGAAAAACTAAATTGGGCGTAATTCTTCATGATACCACATTTTTCCTAGATTTATGAGTAGTAAAGAAAGATTGGAAACCATCATGGGGTGGGATTGGATTGTTCAGTTAGGTCCTTTCAGTAATTATTGGAATATTTTTGCCCTACATAATGGTTCGGCCATAATTAACCCGAAAGACCAAAATATTGCCTATAACGCTCGAAAAAATATCCGTGAAATAGAAGGGAAGGATTTAACCATAAAACAAAATGATTCAACCCGTAATTCTGATAGGTATGTAAAGTCCACGGAATTAATGGTTGAAAACAACATTAGCATTGATAAAACCCCAGTGGTTGCTATTGGTATTCCTGATTACATAAAATGAGTGAAAATATATCTCGTTTAATGAAGAAGTATGAAATAATTTTCGAAGACAAATTAGGTTGTCTTAATGATTATCAAGTAGATATAAAATTAAGGGAAGGATTTGCACCTATTTTCCTAGCGTGTCGTCGAGTCCCTTTTGAATGGAAAAAGGAAATTGACGAAGAATTGGATCAATGGGTTAACGATGGTATCATTGTTCCAGTGGAATATAGTGTATGGGCAACCCCGTTGGTGCCGGTTAAGAAATCAAATGGTAAATTGAGACTCTGTGCTGATTTCAGAGTAACCGTTAATCGATGGGTAGTAGAGGTTAAATATCCTTTACCCCGAATTGAGGAAATTTTGGCCCAGTTGAAGGGAGCGAAATATTTTTCAAAGGTTGATTTTTCGTCAGCCTATTTACAATTACCTTTGAGGGAGGAGATTCGTAAATTATTGACGATCACGACTCCCAAAGGGTTGTTCGCTTTTTGTAGATTACCATTTGGGTTGAGTGTGTCAGCGCCTATTTTTCAGCGCACCATGGCGTCCGTTTTTCAAGGATTAGAGGGTGTATTTTATTACATGGATGATGTGCTAATTACAGGGATAACGCCTGAGCAGCATAACCATCGTCTAGAGGAAGTTTTTAAAAGAATTCATGGTAAAGGCTTGAGAGCCAGCAAAGAAAAAAGCATTTTGGGTGTAATGGAGGTCGAATATTTAGGCCATCAAATAAATGGGATTGAGGTGAAGCCATTGCAAAAAAATTTAAAAAATATATTAAATTTGAAGCAGCCCAATAATAAGGCTGAGGTGCAGTCCTTTTTGGGTATGGTAAATTACTATCATCGTTTTATAGAGGATTTTGCGAAGGTAGCTGCCCCGTTATATGATTTATTAAAAAAGGGTGTTCATTTCGATTGGAAAGTAGAGCAACAAGAAGCATTTGAAATTTTAAAGGGCAAAATTGGGGAAGAGCCAATTTTAGTCTGTTTCAACAATGATTTAGAAATTATTTTAGCGGTTGATGCCTCCAACAAAGGTGTTGGAGGAGCCCTATTACATGTAATTGATGGTGTGGAAAGACCCATCCTTTTTTTTCCCGAGTTTTTAGGGATGTCGAAACGAGATATTCGGTGATTGAACAGGAGGCCTTGGCCGTGATTTTCGGTTTGACGAAATGCCGTGAATATTTGATTTGTAAAAAATTTGAAATTTTTACTGACCACAAGCCATTAATCCACCTATTCCGAAAGGATAATAGAGAGTTAATGCTATCTCTCCGGTTACAACGTTGGTTGTTATTAGTGGGCAGTTTTAACGTGGAAGTTAGATATCGTCGGGGCAAAGAGAATCATTTGTAGAGATATTTTGTCCAGGTTGGGTTCTGACTGTGCAGACCCGGAAATAAATAGTAGTATAAGTGATAGAGAGAAAGCCTTAGTGCGTTCTCTGTCTTATATTTTAAAAGGGGGTCCTACCAATTGGGAGGATTTGAAAGCCAATACTGCGAATGACAAAGTGCTAGGTCAGATAAAATTAAGTCTAACAGGAGATAAACCTTGGAAAAACAAATATGATGCATATAAAAAAATACAGAAAGAATTATCAATTGTTGATGATTGTATTATGAGGGGAAACCGGGCCGTAATTCCTTATAAATTACGGAGTAAAATTATGAAATTATTGCACGCCGGTCATCAAGGTCGAGACAAGATGAAGTCTTGGGCTCGAGAATATGTATGGTGGCCTGGTATGGGCAAGGATATTGAACGGATTACCAGGAAATGTGTTCCTTGTAATGCCTGTGCTCCTATGCCCCGTAAAGAGGTAAGGCAATTTTGGCCTAAATCAAAGAAACCTTGGGAACGTATCCACATCGATTTCTTTGATCTTGATAAAAGGACATATTTTTTAGTGGTAGACTCGTATTCTAAATGGATAGAATATGCAGAAGTACATGGATATACCACAAAAATTGTTGTGAAAAAATTAAGAGAATTATATGCTCGGTTCGGTTTTCCGGACAAGATAGTGTCTGACGGGGGTCCCGCCTTTGTCAGCGAAGATTTTAAACAGTTTTGTGTTGAGTCACAGACAAAACACATTCTAGCTCCACCATATCATCCCAGCTCGAATGGACAAGCTGAGAGAATGGTAGCCATTGTTAAAGATTGGATCAAAAAGGCTGGAGCCCATAAAGAGGAGGCTTACATGTCTCAATTATATTACCTCAATTCTCGTAATCGAGATGGAGTTACGCCTGTCGAGTTATTTTTAGGTAGGCGAACACGGGGTCCTTTGGACTTCTTAAAACCAAAGAAGAAGACTATTACCTCAATGGAAGTAAAATTAGGGGTACGGTTTGCCGTGGGACAAAAGGTTTGGGCCCGATTGTTCGACAATCGGGCAACCAAATGGGAAAAGGGTCGGGTCATATTGAACCGGGGTTCGAAATTAAGTGAAATTTTGTTAATAACAGGGGTGACCGTGGTTCGTCATCACGATCATATGAGATTGGGATAAATAAGAAGCGTCTTATTTGTTTGGGGTTCATATGGGTTCGGTTTCCGAATATATTTAGTCATATTGAAAATAGTTCAATATAGACAGGTTGTTGGTCATTTGCAGTTATAATCATAGTTCTATTAGACGAGTTTAATAAAATCGGTTTCTGAATATATTGGTCATATTAAAAATAGGTCAATATAGACGGGTTTAATAAATTTGTCAACATGGTAAAGATATATATATTTGGTCATATTAAAAATAGGTTAATATAGACTGGTTTAATAAATTTATCAACATGGTAATGATATGGAAAGTTTTCTTCGGTTTGGTTCGTTAAGGAATGTCTTTGTCTGTTTTGTCAAATGAAGATTTGTGTTAATGTTGTCTTGTATTAAATAAAGTTTGGTTTTCAAAGTAATGAAAACATGTTTGTATATTGTCCGTTTTTAAATGAATAGCAAGTTTTTTTTTGTGTAAGGAAAAATTGTGTTAATGTTATCTGGTATTAAATAAAGTTTTGTTTTCAAAGTAATGAAAGGATGTTTTTATCTTTCATTAGATTAATAGAAAGTTTTTTTTTTAATGTAATGAAAAGATGTTTATCTTTTATTAGATTAATAGAAAGTTTTGTTTTTAATGTAATGAAAAGATGTTTATCTTTTATTAGATTAATAGAAAGTTTTGTTTTTTTTCTTTTAGTTTTAGGATGGCAAAATTTTTCCTCACTTATTTTTATTGGGGGATTCGCGTGAATGAGTTAGAAAGTATGTTATTTGTTTCAATTGACGCTCCCACCAAGGGATATTGTAATTATATTATTGAGAAAATTGAAGCACATGGGAGAAATAGGTTTTATTTTTGTTATAATGTATGCACCGCAAATAGTATACATTAATACATCAGACCATAATTTTTTTGTAAAATATATTATAAGTTTTTTTTTTTAAAATATTATAATAAATTTTTTCAAAAAGTATTATAATAACTTTCTCATTCAATCGGTAGTAGCGACAATGACAAAATCAACAATTATCTTATTAATCGAAAGTTTTGATTAAAAAAAAATACTTAATATTAATTATATAAAAAAAAGAGACTAAATTCTAATATAAAAATAAACTCAAAAAGAAACACTACTGAATTAAAGAGTTAAATTCGGAATTATAAAATAAGGAAACACTTTTTTATTAAATTTCATAGTTTTTATCATTACAAAAAATATCATGAAAAAATTACCAAGTAAAAAAATAATGATTTCTTTTTCACAAAAATTAACAACCTATTTTTCAGAAATGACTGACATTTCATTAATTAAAAACTAATATATATATATTTATAAAAATTGATTGACATTTCTATTAAAATAAGTATCGTTTACGACAGTTACCGTCCAAGACTTCTAAATTTTAAAGTACTTTTAGAAAATTTTAGAAGAAATTATTTTTTTAATTGGAAGATATTTCATTTTTATAAATTGAGAGAGTCTTCCCAGATATTCGATTCTATTTATTTCTAAAAAAACAAATATAAATTTCAAGGTATAAGCTCCAGGTTTGCATTCTGAATAGACCTGAGCACCAAATCGGGTTGTAATTTTTATGAACGTTCTTTACAATACTATAAATCTATTTCAAGTGTGAACTTTCTATTCACTTTAAAAACTGATCAAGTGAAAGATCATCTGCAACATGTATGGTAGCCCTTTCCATATTGTAAAACAATTAAAATAAAAAGTGTGATAGCTCTCATATTGATAATTATAGATTGCTAAATGTTCCTAACAAACCTTTTATTTATTGTTTTCCAAAATTATTTTTGATATTCGATCAATTCCTTTGAGAAATTTCAAAAATTAAAAAAATGTAAATATAATTTGAATTTGATAATTAGCATATTTGTGATTCTGTACAATTATTTTGATATTACAATAACATTACAATCAAGTTACACTATAAAATGATTCAACAAATCAAATGAATACAAAATTTTGTAATATCAATTTAACAAAATTTAAACTATAAATAATTAACAAGAAAACAAAATGGGCTGAGATCTCTCACACAACATAATCCAACGGCCGATTGAATCCACCTTTTCTATTCATATATTGTCTATAATTTTTTTTAAAATTAAAATTTATCAAAAAATAAAATTTTTACATGTTTGAATAGCTAGGATTCGTGATAGAAAAAACATAATTTTTCGATCTATTAATTTATAAAAAAAATTATGCCTTTTACAATGAAAGTCGCTAGAAAAAAGGGTATATTCTATTATTCTTTACTGAATTTTTCCGAAATGAGTCTAATAAATCCATGATTCTTTGGATACTCTCACAATACATATATTTTTTAGTTTGAGATTCATTTTAGTATATACATATGCAATAGCCTTACCTGTTCCTTGTTTTAAAAAATTTTAACATTCCCATTCACGATTTTACAACTATAAAATTTTCAATTTAAAGATGCACCAGATTCTAGATAATCGATCCGTACCCACACTGAATTTCAGACAATTTTGCCATAAAATTATAAATCACGCTTAATTTGTATGTATTTATATATAGATTTTTCGTATAAATTAATTAATACACAAGGTTTAATGGCAAAAATTGTCTGAAATTAATAAAATGGTTACTCTACATATGTTGGAATACATTTCAGGTCAAATCAGATTTTCCAAATTTTGAAATCGTCCTCAATAAATTATATAAAATTGAGAGATTTTAAATACTCGTGGATTCCATATCCCAATATGAAATATTTATATTAATGCATTTATTTTTGTAAATCAAAAATTATAAATCAATAAATTATCTAATTTTTTCAATTTAAAATTAATAAACAAAGTATTAATTAGAACACTAAATAATTCATCTTTAAAATAATAAAATATTGTAGATTATTTATATTTATTTTATTGTTCAAGATATACTAATAAATTTTAATGTATTTTTAATGAATTAAATTTAAATTCTAAGAATAAGAGTGTTAAAAATATTTTTTAATATCCTAATTCAAAAATTTTAGGATATGGTAGCAGAACCGAGGTAAAATATCTTTAAATATTATGAAATAATAACCTGTCCTGCTAATTTCGCCTGTAAAATATTTTAAATTCACCTGCTCACCCATTGTTTTAAAAATATATTTAGCCAGTTTGCTCAAAGTATGGAAGGATAAAAATTCAGGTTTCAGACCTCCGCGTGTATTAAAAAAAATAACCCACCAGTCCATTTGTTTTTGTTACTTTTCAACTGATGCTTAAAAATTATTTGATTGCTTGGTTTTTTTAGGTTATTTTATTTTAATTTGATAAATAAAATATCCAATATCTTGAAATAAATAAAATAACTAATCTTTAATAAATATAAATCAGCCTTACTTATTTTGCCCGCAAAATATTTTAAACTCACCCACCATTCGTTTAAAATTTTTAGACAGTCTAATGCAGACATAAGTTATGGTGTCAATTTTAAAAAATATATATTTAATTACCGATATTTCCGTTTTTTGATAATATTTGAACATTCTCCAAATTCGACATTGCCTTCAACGTGTTTTCCCTTTTGTATGTCATTAAAATATGAAAAAAAAATATTCATAGTATTTATGATTTTAAAATTTAATTGATAAATAATTGTTTTAAAAAATTTAATCGGTATTATAAATAATAAGCTGGACTGAGAATAAACAAAATAATTGCCAATAACCCTTTGATGAAGAGAAAGTCGATTTTTAAAAAATATCTAAAGTGTACATAAATAATTCATATCTAAAGTTGTTAAAGATACAGAAAATAAAAATATATAAAAACGAATAATGATCATGTATAGTGTGATTTCTTGTTTCAATATTGAGATATATTATTTTAGGCCATACTGCCAAATTATGTTTTGACGTTATACTGTGCTTTAAAAAAAATTAATTATAGTAGTGTCACTATAGCTAAAGAAGGTTTGAATCCTTAGGCAAAAATTGGCAGTTATACTAAGTGGAATATAAAAGATAGTGCCTTTATGTTATTTCAATTTATATCTATTAAACAAGAAGTGAAATGGATTGCTTGCAAATAGCCCTTGATAAAGATGGTGAGGATGAAAATAATTATTCATTTTCAGAGTAAATTTTTTGATTATTTTAAAAATATTTGTGAATTTTTTAATCAGCTATCCAATCAAATCTTTTTCAAAAAATATCAGCACATCAAACATAATAAAACATTTACTTGACAAACATGACTTATCATGTAAAAAAGAAATATCTAAACAAAATTTAAAGTTATTTTTCAAGCCTATTGTAAAAGATACCCTATAAAAGATAAAAAATGGATTCTGGTAAGGAATTATGTTCTCATGTGTTGCAAGGATTTAATGCCAATCTCTTCTATAAATAATACTGGAATGCAAGATTTTCTAAAGGTTATTTGTAAAATCCTTATAATTTTTTATAGGGCAATCTTCATTTTTATTTTAACTGTTAAGATATTTAATTATTTTATGATAGAATATTTAAATAAAACTGAAATCATCAGAATTTTTTATGGCATAATATTTTTATTATTAACTTTTTATTATATGGAAATATGGCATTATTTCAGATACAAAAGATTTACCAGATAGATCAACACTTGGCCGGAGTGGATTCGATGATATGTATTTATCAATGAAAGCATACATATGCCAACAAATTAATATAGGTCCTAAATTTTGTGCTATAACTTTTGATATGTGGACCGAAAATATAGACGACGAAATTATATTACTTTTACATTTCACGAATTGTATTTTATACATGGCGACACATCATGTCACTCAAAAACATACCGCTGAAACTATTCTTTACGAGATAGAAAAAGTTGAAAATGAATTTGATTTATGGTCCAAGAAAATTCAAATGATTGATGCAGGACCCAATGTAAAGAAAAGTGTTCGTTTAGGAGAATATGACCATCATTTATGTTTGGGGCATGGATTACATAATCTAGTGACAGTTGAGGAATAAAAAAAGTTAATAAAATAGAAAATCTCATTAAAAAGTGAGAGAAGTTATAGTTGCCTTAAGATTCAAAACAGCGGACTTTGAAAATATAGATGATATCGAAAATGTTTTGAATCGATATCATATACATCGGATATTTTAGATTTGGTTGATAATGATCCTTTTTATGAAGATCGTTTGGGGTTTGATGATGATAGTGCAAATCAAAAATCATATGAGAAAAAACATAAAACCTTAAAATTAAATGTGCCTACAGGTTGGAATAATATTTTAATAATGCTGTTAAGTGTGACTGGCAATAACAAAAATCTTATAAATATTCTATTAAATAGAATGGAGAACCCGGATCTCAAATTATTTAACTCCGATTGGGATTTGGTGCATGAACTTTTAAATTTTCTTAAAACCTTCAAAAAAACTGTCGAATTTTTATCCGTCCAAAAAGGGATTACTATAAATTTATCCTTATTATTTCGTAGTGAAATTAAAAATCATTTAATTGTAAAAGAATATGATAGTCCTCCCATAGCATCCCTTAAAAAAATATGCTTACTAAATGTGATCATAGATTTCCAATAACCGATCTTCAGGTAGTATTTTTAAATACATTAATTATTTTTTATATATTATTTCTCTTTGTTTTAATTTTTTACTTAGGTGTTAGGAACACTTTTGGATTCTCGTTTTCAATCTATAAACATAGTAAATAAATATTTAAAGGAAAGAAATATTACTCCGGTGCAATTTTTATGTCAACACGCTACTTCTCTACGACCTTACAAGGACGAATTAAACGAATGTGAAAAGACGGAAGTTGCTTCAAAACTCGATTATCTTAAGTCATTGGCTATGAAACATTCATCTATTCATAACAATAACCTGGAACAACAAGACAATCTAACAAGTTTAGAAAAAAAGTGCTATTCATCATTTTCGCCTTATAATTTAGAGATAAAAGATGTCTTAGATTTTTGGAAGATAAGAGCATTGGATCTTCCTAAACTTTCAATATTAGCTAGAAAGGTCCTGTGCGTTCCAGTTATGAGCACACCCAGCGAGCGTGTATTTTCCATAGCTGGACTCACTCTGAACTCTAAAAGATTATTATTATGTCCTATAAATCTAAATAAAATAATATTTATACATGATAATTATTACTAAAAAGGGTTTCCAATGAATTTATAATTTTAATTAAAAAAATTAAAGTTAGAAAAATATTTGACGCCGCCACGCCGCCGCCGCCGATTTTTGTGGCGGCATCTAAATCGATTCGCCGCCGCCAGCCGATCATTTTAAAAAAGAAACGCCGCCGCCGCCAAAAATGCTGTCGGCGCACATGTCTAGATAATATGGATTTTTTTTACCATAATATCATATATTTGATATAATTGTATTGATAAATTATTATTGATTTTTATTATATTTAGAAATCCAAAATGTTAATGTTTTTTATGTGATAAAATTGAAAAAGAAATAAAGAAAAATTAATTTTTAATAAATTGGAATTATCGTAATATAGGTGCCGTTCTCTTCTAGGAAAAAACATTTTTGCGGCATAGCGACAAATAAAAACTAACTAAAAATTTACGATCATGGACAATTAGAAAATAAAAAGGAAATTCGAAATCAAAGTTAAATTTTTTTCAGTTGAATTTTAATGTATTGTTGATAGTGATTTTATTATTAATTGCATTGGCTTATTTTATCATTTAAAATTGTAAAAATTTTTTAATAATATTAATTAATTTATTATAAATGTATTTAATATATATTATATATTTTTTTTGGCAATATATGATACTTTATTTAAAAAACAAATTTTTCTTTTACAAATTATAATTAAAAATATATATTAAAAAATAAATAAGCATATATTAAAAATGAATTAAAAAATATATATATGTATATATATATAAAAGAACTGAGAAAAATTTTTTTTAAAAAAAGAGTACAAATCACCCTAGAGAAGAGTGAATGCTTAAAAAATTGGACCGACAGATTTCCAGGGAAATCTGCTGACGAAGGTGATATCCTTCATTGGGGTTCCCTGAGATCCGCCAGGGAAATCTGCTGACGAAGGTGAAATCCTTCATTGGGGTCCCTGAGATCTGCTTCATTTTTTTTCCTATGGTTTTAATGAAATTGAGAGCATCACTTTCGAACATGCCTAGGGTAATAGTAACGATTGGGATAAACACGGTGTTGGTGAGGCAAGCATATTTGTTTTTTTAGGATTTCGGCCTTTTCGATGGCAGAAAATGAGAGGTTGGACTTGGCGGCAAAATCGACACAGGTATAGTCCCAAGCAAGTGGAAGACAATTGGTCCAGGGAATGAGAGATATGCCATCGGCTATTCGATGGGATGGCTGCAGTCGATGCAAATGGAGGGAACCACGGCATTACAGCCAAGGCGGAGGGCTATGGAAATGCGTAGCTATTCACCAGTCAAAAAGGAGGCCAAGATTGGAACTGGGGATGACTTCCAGCCATTCGTAACCTCAGCTTGCATATAATACTAAATTATTGAGAATGTCCTCAAAGGGCCTGTTCGAAATAAGGTATTCAACGGAACGGGCGATGAGAGGAGCATCCCAGTCTATTACGACAAAGGGTGGGTGAGCAGTTGCTGTCCCAAAAGGTGAAGGCCTGCTAGAGGTCAGTATCTAAAGGAGTGGATCCATTATCAATGATAGATTGAGCAGCAAGACGAGATGAGATAAAGGTTGAGAGGGAAAGTTGTATCGGGATCGGATACCAATACCACCAGATTTGCTGGGAAGGGTGGCCTGAAGCCAAGATGAATTGGAAAATTTAAGGTTTAATATGTTTTCAAGAAGACCCTTAATTTGGGTTTCATGGGAAACGAGCAAGTCACGGCATTTAAAGTTCGGAAAGGATCTCAGGGCGTAAAGGATTTTAGGTATGTTGAAATAATTTTTTATTGAAAAAAAAGATTGATGGGTTGGGAGGTAATTAAATAATGTATTTAATGTGGATAAATTGTTAAGGGATTTGTTTAAAAATGCTTCAATGCCCTTTTCACCTCCCATGGGTGATCCTAGGTGTGTCATCTCGTCTCTGTTGATGACGTGATATGCCATGCCTGAAGGCATAGAAGTGGGATTTAGGAAGCAAATCTCACATTTGGGGAGGTTGAGAGATAGTCCTGTAATATGAGAGATTCTCAATGATGAGGGGGGTGGATGTGATTGTGGAAAGGTTGTCCGAGACTATGCCGTCACCAAGATACCAGGAATTAAAGGTAAGATTAGATTTAGATTGAATTTCCTGAATTATCTTGTGGATCTCGATGCAAAAGAAGGCTGGGCCTAAGGGGTCTCCTTGTTGAATTCCCTCTTGAGAAATTTATTTGGAAATTAAAGAATTTTTAGATAAAAATAAAATTTTAAAATGCTTAATAGAAAAAGTATAAAAACTAATAATTATTTTGAAATTATAAATGTTTCCCAATTAGATATTTACTTTGGAGTAGCAATAATTTTAGTATTATGGATTATAATTTATTTTTGGTATAGAAAAAGAAATGGAAATAAAGGTGCAAAT